CAGCAGCAGCAGCAGCAACAACAACAGCAACAGCATCACCATCACGACGCCCAACAGGTGACACACCCAGAAAATTTCCCCCCGAACTTCGACATCAGAAAAGAGCTATTTTCTCAGCGCAAGCAACGGGAGTTCATTCCGGACAACAAGAAGGACGACAGCTACTGGGACCGCAGGAGACGCAACAACGAGGCAGCCAAACGGTCGCGAGAGAAAAGGCGTTTCAACGACATGGTGCTCGAGCAACGAGTCATGGAGTTGAGCAAGGAGAACCACATCCTGAAGGCGCAGCTCGAGGCAATTAGGGATAAGTTTGGTATATGCGGCGAGTCCGTAATCAGCACGGAACACGTGCTCGCCGCTTTGCCCGCTGACCCGCCTATCGTGAAAAGGGCGAAACTGCCAGCCTCGGCGGCTCTCCTCTACGCAAGAACACCGAGTCCTGTGCACACTTCGGTGATCCACCAGCCAGTCAGTGGTGCACGATCGCCCAGGTCGCCGGCGCAGCTGTACGTGCCCGAGACGACCTCGTATCCCGAGACGGAAAGCTTCCAGTATCCTTACCCTCATCCGGCGATGCACCTCGACACGACGAGCGCCCTGAACCTGTCTCGCGGTCGACGCGCTCAGTCACCCTTCGAACTGTCATCCGGCAGCGGAGACGAGGGGCCGCAGTTGGTGGTCAGCTCGCAGAATCCAGCGGCTAACAACAGTCTTCCTCACAAGCTGAGGCACAAGTCGCGCATCGGCGACAAGGACGCGGCCAGCGCGCTACTCGCGCTTCAGGGTATCAAGCAAGAGCCTGGGCCAAGGGCGTCACCACCTTGGGATAACGAAGGCTCCAGCGACGAGCGTGACTCGGGCATTTCCCTTGGTGCGGAATGGACAGGGCCGAGCGTGTCCACGGTTCCCGAAAGCGAGAGAGAAGTGAAATCCAGGTTGGATCGTCTCGCCTCGGAAGTTGCCTCGCTGCAGTCGATACTACGCATCGGCAAGCCGACCGAGAGCAATCTGGTTACCGGGCACTCGTTGTCAACGAACGCCGGTATCAACGGCCCGTGAAAACAGATCGTCCACCCGTTGTCTCGGCTTTACCGCAGCTTCTACTCCTCGGCACTTTTCTCCTCGAGCTGTATTGCAGGTTGACGAAGCTGACGATTTCAAGAAATAGAAAGACCCCTCGATGGCTGATCACGCGCCCGAACGTTCCAACGATTGTGACGATGGTTGTTGGTTGGTTGGTGTTGGAAGGAAATCGGCTGTCGGCTGATCGTCGCTTGGTTCCGTTCTTTCGTAATAAATTGGCAAAGAGCGAGAGCGAAGGCTGGTAACGAATAGAAGGACGCGTACGTTTCTAGAAACGAAACTACGAAACGACTTTGCAGTATTGGATATCCGCGTGCACTCTGGTATCGACCAACGAAACACGCGAAACAAATCACACACGATTTTCTCAAGAAAACGGCTGGAGAGATCGACTAGATAAAACGTGTAAAAATGATGGACTGCTTTAATTCGGGAGGCGAAGGTTATTAAAATTGATTTTAGTCGGTCGGGT